GTTCTTAGCCAACTGATCAAACCTAATGAAATTTTTAATAATTCAATAATAAAATAAAACATATAAAACAGGTATTGTTAATTCATAAATTTTTCATTTTCATTTTTTTTTTATAATAAATAAAAAAATGATTGCAAACATCTTTACTATTATATACGTTCTTACCATATCTGATGAAATAATATCTTATAAAAAGATACAGTAATCTTTCAAATTGATAATGATGAAGGATTTCAAATATACAAATACTATAATTATTTAACCTTGCAAAATGATTCTGATTCTAACCTAAACTATGGTTTTGAAGCAATATCATTTAAAGAAGAGAATATGTACTTAATATCAGAAAATTTTTAATCATATAGGATAGTTTAATTAATGTTACCATTATAACAAGTATACATATCCCTTTTGATAAAGAATGTATTTCTGTAATGAAACCAACTGTATATCTTCTTAGAAGAACTGTGAATTATGCACAATTATCAGAAACTGGTTACAATTTACAGATTCAAATAAAACCATATTTATAGAAAGAACAATTTACACCATTTTTGATAAATTTAACTCATCCTTCAGATAGAAAGTTTAAAAATGCCTTAAAAAAGCAAAGAAAAATTCTACAATCCATGCAACAGGAGTACTTTATATTATAAAAAAACAACTATATTATAAAATATTAGAATTCTAATTTATAGCTTCAAAAATGGAAACAGATAATTCTATAATAGTTTCATGGAAAAAAACAACTTCTCAAGTAATAACAAGTTCTTCTTCATCCATATCTGCTATTAAAAAAAGAATTAATCTTATATGGCAACTCAACCACCAATAGCAACTAATTTATCAGTACTAAATTCTAGAAATAAACGTAAGGCATTCACAACAAAAATTTTAGATATTTCAAAATCTTTATTATTACAAGATCAACAAATGACAAAAATAATAATGAACAAGTAAAGATTGATAATAATAATGAAATTATTGATAATGATAAAGAAAAACATTAAAGATGTTATATATGATAACAATAAAGATGAAAACAATGATGATGATAATACATCAGCAAAAATTTTAAGTGTAAAAAGAAAGTCAAAAAGAAGAAAATCAAATAAATAGTTTAAAATAATAAATTAAATGTATTATTTAGTTTAAAATAATATTTATATTATCTATTATTAATATTAATTAAATATTATTAATCATACCAAATTAAAAAAATATAACTAAATTAAGTTAAATATATTTAAATAAAATTTAATATAAAAAAACCTTAAATGTGTAATAATTTTAAATTATTATATATAATATTAATTAATAAACTTTTACAAATATAAAAATTATTCTGTTTATTTCTGATTATTAAAAAATGTCTAACAATAAGCTAAAAATCTATAAATTTCATCCTTATGATCTATTTGATTATTATTCACAAGAATCTTTAACTTTTTCACAAAATTCTACTAATAACTTTTAAATTAACTCTTAGAATGATAAAAGTTTATATAATTCAAATATAATATTAAATTCTAATTTACATCTTTCACAAATTAAACAAAACTTATCAAACTTAAATATTAATTCATTATCCCTATGGAAACCATCTTAATGTTTACGTATACTTTATATATACTTTAAAATACAATCTTATATTAATACATTTGCTTACCTTATGCATATTGTGCAAAATTACTATATCTTACTAAAACTAAATAGATTCCATATAATAAAAACTACACATACCCACTTGAAGTAAACTTTTCAAATGTTAACATATATATAAAAGGTGAAGATTCATCATGTGCTGTATGTGCATATGAAAATTGTAAAAACAATAAAAAGCATTATCTATGCTCAAAACTTCATCTTATACCTAATGTAATTGAAGCTATACCAATTACACAAAGATGATTTCTTTCTCTAGTATTCTTACACTGTTCTCTTAATAGAAATTTAAAAGCAAATAAATATATAGAATATCATGCTTTGGTAGGAAATATGGAATTTTCAAAAAATATGCATGCATTAAAATTGTACTTTAGAATATTAGAAGCATTTTTAATTAATCCAGAAAATTATAATAATAATAAAAATTTCTTGTGATTACTCCAGAATTATGTACTGCTGCAAATTGGCTTAAACAATATAATAAATATTTAAAATCATTTACCAGATTACTTTCAACATCATCCTTTCTTACAAAAATATATTTGAATCCATTTTTTATAGCAGCTTATTTACCTTCTGATATAAATGCTCTATCTTTTCAAGAAGGAGACATTGTTTTACCATCAACAAATTTTTCAACAGAAATATATAATGAAGATTTTCACTACACTCATCTAATGGTTGGTTTTGTATAAACATCAACTACAATATTACCACTTTCTTTTGATAATGCAGATCTTGAACTATTATTATTTTCAGATCTATTCCTGATAGAAATAGTCACTTTGTTGATCAAAATGCAATCACATCTGACAATGATTCAATAAAATTAAAACATATAGAAAATATATAAATATCATCTATTATGTATTGATTTAAAATTTCGTTTACATTCTTACTAGTCACATTACTCATACTTAAGATTAGAAAGCTATAAAATCATCAAAACACAATATGTCTTTAGCATTAAAAAGAATCAGATAAAATATATCTTTTACCAATAGTAGAGTTCTGAAAATAACTTGCATAAACTTACATATTTGACTCGCATGATTGTGCATATTTGTAAATTTTAGTTATACATAATAAATAAATACTTTAAATTAAAGGTATGTAGGATAATTTTGACTTAAAACTCAACTTGACTCGACTCATTAGGAACACTAACCTACAGCTTCTGAACTTATTATACATAGTATATATTTAGAAAAATATATAATTGATAAAATAAAAATAATTACATTATCATCATTTATATGAACAAAAGATATATATTTTAATGAAATCTTTTACACATAAATGTTATGATGAAAGAATAAAAATTACTATCACTTTTTATTATCTTAACTGCAGCAGAATCTAAATGGACTCACTTAAAAGAGATATTAAAATCAACAGATAATAAAAATATAATACTAATGAATAGACCATTAGATATAATTCTGCATTTTATATATCGCAAAAAAGAAATTTTAAATCATATTTGGAAAAAACCTGCAAATAGAAATTGGAATCATCTTAATCATTTTTTTAAACATGTAAAATTTCAAAATAAAAGAGTATTATATACACATTTAATACTTTAGGTTGAAAAAAGTATAATAGAAATGATAGCAGAAAATCTAATTAGATCTGATTTACTAAATCAAAACTTTGAATCAGAACTTTATCAATTAGTATTAATACATCAAATTCATATATGTAATCCTAGAAAGTATAATAAACTAACAACTCCAGATCAAACATGCAAAAAAAACTTTCCTTAACTATATTCTCCAATTACAAATTATAATACTAAAGAATCTAGATATATATAACTGAAAAAGATAGATAGGTAGTTCCTTACCATCCACCTACACTTTTATTATGGAATGCTCACATAAATATACAATATGTGAGTACTAAAAATCTTGGTAAATATTTAACCAAATATGTTATTAAATTAGAACCTTCATATGTATTTAATATATCAAAAGGTGATAAGTATCGTGAACATATAATTGCTCAATGATTAAGTTTAATAGAATGTATATTTTTATTACTTGATGAAACAATATGCAAATCATCAGTAAAAGTAAAATACTCACCAATAATTTGTTCACATGCAATAAGACCAATATCAACAATATTAGAAGATGATGATGATCCATATTAAAAAGATACAATTAAAAAATATTTTGCACATCCATATGATAAATAATTTGATAATATAACTTATCCTAATTATTTTAAAAATTATACATTATCAACCAAAAAACCTTCAAATAATGAAATTTACAAAAATGATTTAAATTATTATGTTGTCAAAAGAATATCTTCATTAATTATACATTACAGACAACTTAAAATTCAGAATGGAGAATTATATTTTTATCAACAATTACTTTTAACAATACCTTGCAGATCAGAAGATGAATTACTTGGTAATTTTACATCTTATCAAAAAAAATATTTAAATTTACATCCAAATTTTCAAAATTCAATTCAAAATTCTATAAATACAATAGTAGAAGAAAATATATATTCATTACAAAATCAATTTAACACAATCATAACTAACATATTAAAAAACCTTGAAGGCAAAATTACTTCACAAATATCAAAAATTCTTACCAAATAATTAGATAATTTAAAATTAATACTATCAATATTTTTACCAAATGCAATGTTAAACTTACTAGAAGAACAATACATTATTTATAATACAATTATATCTACTCATGAACTAATATCACAATCTAAAAAATATCTATTTTTCTTTATTACAGGATTTGGTAGAAATGGAAAATCATATTTAATAAAATTAATTATTGATTGTATAAAATCAAAAGAAAACTTATCTTTTAATAGTACCAATAGGAATAGCTGCACAAATATTAGAGGATTTACTATTCATTCTACACTTAGAATAATACAAATAGAATCAGGCTATCAATCATTAGCTTTTTATGATCTTGAATTTAAAAAAAATTACAGAAAATTCAAGTATTAATTATAAATAAATATCAATGGTTTCTGCTTCATTATTTAATTTTATTTCTAATTTATTTGCTAGAATTCTCAATTTTGATATAGCATTTGGAGATATCTGTATAATAGTTGCAAGTGATTTGACACAACTTTCACCAGTAAGAGGTAAAGCTGTATTTTATTCATCAGTATGGCAATTATTTCATCCTTTATTTTTATACAAATCCCAAAGACATAATGAAGATAATGAATTTTATAAAATGTTGGAAGAAATTAGATTTGGAAAAATGTCAAATGCAATCTGAACAAAACTTATAAAAAAAGCTACAAATTATAATAATAATCAATCTTCAGATTCATTATTAACAATAACACATATTGTTGGATATTGATGAAACATCAAAACAAATCAACAATACAATTTGCAACCTACTTCCAATTAATAATGAAAAATATTTATTAGCAGAAGCTATAGATTTTATAGAAGATAAACAAGTATTATCAGAACTTGTTCAAAAAGAATTTAAAACAAAAACAAATATGCCACTAACAGTTAAACTCGAACAAGGTGTATAAGTTATGTATCTAAATAACACATTAATAAAGAAGGTATATGCAATAAAACAATTGATGTAATCACTGATATAGATAAACAATAATCAAGTGTACAAATAAAATTTTATGTATATGATGCAATTATTCAAAGATGGATTACAAGAGAAATATCCTACTTTTATTTAAGGATCAACATGTATCTAAAACACAATTTCCATTACAAAACTCATTTTCTTTAACAGTTCATAAAACATAGGGTCTTACCTTACATTTTATTTCAATAGATCTTAGCCAACTATTTATACCAGGTCAAGCATATATAGCAATCAGCAGATGTTCAAAATGGCAACATGTTCAAATAATAAATTTAGATAAAGATTCATTTATAGTAGATTAAAATTTAATTAACGAATATTCTCGTCTAAAACAAAAAGCATCACAACCACTTCCAATTTAATAAAATATCATAATCTATATATATGCAATACATATTCCAGCAAATTTAATGAAGATACTTATAAATATTAAATAAATATATATATTACTTCCAAATATTAATTATGGCCGGCCCCTGGCCGGCCATGATTAAAAATCTAGTTATAAATAATATTAAAACATTATTCTTTATTTAATAAAGTAATTATATGTAAATTTTCATACCTTTAAAAAAACCACTTTTTTTTATAATTTACTGGGTGGTCCTAAACTTTTTGCGCGGGAGTGTAAATTTGCGATATTTGTTAATTGACAGTGAATGGACTGCGCTGTTATTATTTTTATTATACTTGCAGGTATTTCATTGCTTCTTCCTATTCTTACTTAATTAAAAAAATTTCAAAGCAAATGTTTCAGGGGTTTCTTAGATCAAAATTCATTTATAGAATGAAGTTAAACATATTCTTGTCTTTCAAAAATATTACACTTATAAAATGGCAACGACTTCAATCCTCTCTGATCATTATTCAAAAGATCAAGATATCTTAATATCTTAATCAAAAGAACAAAACAAAAATTTACGATCACAAAAATAAATCGAATTAATGAAACCATTTTTAGTTTCTTGCTCATGTTATTGGTTATGCTTTCATCGGTCTATACTATTACAAATCAAAGACAAGCATCAAAGTTTTTAGAAAAATTTCCGAAAAAATTAACTAAATCTTTCTCGATTTTGGAAAAACCAGACCTTTAAGTCTCTGGACAATTAAAGAAATTTGTCTCTGTAGTACCACGTTACGTCCAAATCTCTAACGTTTAATATATAGTGGTTCGACAGCTCGGGTTGAACACGATTCCATCATTCGTACACGATTGTTGGAAAGTATCAATTATCTTATAATCATCTAAATCATGGAATGGATTTTAAAGTTCGGTTTGTAGTGTCTTGTAGTAATGATTAGCAAAAAAATTTAATACACCAGTAAGATTTAATTTACGAAACAACAACCATTTAAGGTTTTGGTTCGTCTTGAAATTGGTGACCGTTTCCATGACATTGTTGATAAATAAATTATCTTATGGTCCTATTACGTTACATTCTCGAAAATTTGATGTGCTTTTATTGTTGTTTATAACATTAATTATAATATAAATATTTTCTATTTTTTTCTTGAGAAAATTTATTAATAAACATTAATAACAGCTTTATTAAACAACTGTATTGCATGTCTCAATAAGTAAAATAAAGGTTTTATTTTATAAAAAATGAAAAAAGTGTGTGTCCAATCATGTTCGAGGTTACTTTTTGCAAAATAAATTACTACGCCACATAAGATAAACGGTGTTTTTTTTTTTTTTTTTTTTTTTTGGCGTTTTTGACAGATGATTCAATAATTTTCAATTAATAATTTTTTTAGCGAGGGATAATTCTTTTATAGATTTTATGCGACAATCAAACAAATATCAAAATACAAATAAAAGGATACCCAAAATCATGTCGTGATGAAATTATGTCATCATTCAAAAATGCACTGGAAATTAATGTTTCAAATTACAACACATCTAACCAAACCAGTAACACTAAATACCGTACAATCGCCTATCTCTAATACTAATAGTATTTGTCATCCTTTATAATCAACCAGGTTTATTATGCTAAAGTCACGGGATGGACGATCATTTTGCAGATCGATAAAAAAAACTCGGTAAACTCGGTATAGAATTTTTTGATGAAACATTATCGCTACGTTCAGATCAGTGTTCCGAATATAGCGACATAATTTTTTTACCCATATAAAATGTGGTTGGCTTTTTCAAATCCTTATAAATTTTCTCGGAAAGTCTTGGTTATTATCGGCTGTATAAAATTAGCTGTAACCGACCAACCGGTTAGCTGACCGATTTTAACTGACCGGTTGACCGACCGGTTAATAGTAAAATAATTGAGCAGTATTGGCTTAATAGAAAGTTTAACTATCAAAGTTCTTTAATAGCGAAGGCTTGAATAGAATTCACTATGACACTTATTTCGCATAATGTAATTTAGCCAATTATAATTTGATTCTTGCTTTAACAATTTTAGCATGGCATTTTTAGAACTACTTTAGTCAATTTTATTAGTGGTGCAGCATTATCGCGGACTTTCAAAAATTTCAAAATTATAATTTTGCCAAAAAGAAAATTATTTTAACAAAAATATTTTAAATTTTCACTATTTGACATTTTAAAGATAATTAGATATTTAAATACAGCTTAATTCGAGCAGATAATATAATTTATTTAAGTTAATAAAATGGTGTAGCAATTTGTTTATTTATTTTTTTTTTTTGATCATTTTGTTGGGAGGTTCGTTTCAAGTATTCCGAAATTGTGTAAAAGCAAGATCTCATGTGTTACGAATTGGTTTCGGAGAGTAAATTTAATAGCAAAAATTTAATAATTTAAATTAAATCTTAATATTTGCATCTGAAAATATAAAAATGCATAAATTATTTTTTAAAAAAAAAATGCCGCCTCACTATCAATTATATAATAGCTTTAGAGAGACTTCAAGATTACAAATAAATATAAATAAATGTTTGCAATTTAACGGTAATGAGCATTTAGAACTTTATCCATTTGGGACATTCGATTTGAGCATTTTGTACATTATCCCATTATCCGAAGTGTTCATTTCGGCCATTGTCTGAAATGTTCATTTGGGAGGATTTCTAGGTAAATCAGGTTCCGAGAAATTTTTGACTAAAATTAAGAGCTTAATGCATTTTAATCTAATAACATCAAAAATTAAAATGCAATAAAATCAATTTTGTTAAAAAATTCGGAACCCGATTTTCCTAGAATCAATAATTATTATTATTGGTTATAAATATTTATTACTATGCGGTGTAACATTTTTTATGATCATGATCATCCAAAAATTAAATGATTAATTTCGGAACCGTCGGATGTTAATAAATAGCATAGCTCCCATATTTTATTTTATATAAAGAAAGCAAAGTATCAAATTCCGTTAAGCTTCTTTTATCAAATAATTATTTTCTTTCATCGCATTATGGCCTCCATTCGTAGAGAATTAGTTCATGATGTATTGGATAGAGCATATCATTTATCTGATTTCAACATTTACATAAACGAAAAAAAATGTTATGAATTTATGCAACAAATAATTTACGCTGATGAATATCTCACAAAAGAGGAAAAATCTGAGACAATACGAAGATTAAATATATTTTATGATTATAAATGTAGTTTATATCTTGGAACGAAAAGTGTTTGTGAAAATTGCAAACTAGAATTCTTAGCAACAATATATTGCGAGCATTGTATCCGAAGGTATTTAAAAACAAAATT